GTTACAGAATAGTCATGGGGATGTAAAGTACAGTATAGGAAAGGGAATAACCAAAGAACTTACACACATGACCCATGGACATGAACAATGGTGGGGGGGATTGCCTGAGGGAGTGGGGGGTCCTGGGTGAAGGAGAGCAAAAGGAGAAAACATCAGGACAACTGTCATAGCATAATCAATAAAACATAAGTTAAAAAAAAATAAAGAGATATAGCTGAAAACTTCTAAGAACAATGAAAGAAGCCAACCTATTGATTCAAGAAATAAAATGAAACTCAACCAGGATAATGTGGTAGAGAATTTACATAAAGAGGCCACAATTCTTTTATTGTCTCTATGTCCCTTAGCAATGTGAATGTGACTTTGTAGTTCCACAACAAGAGGTGGTTTATTCCCCACTCTTTGATCTGGGCTCGTTTTGACCAATAGACTGCAATAGAAGTGAAGTGCCTGTTCTGAAACTGAACCTCAGGAGGCCTTATATATGTTTTTATCTCTTGGAACCCTACTGTTGCCACATGAACAAGGTCAAGCTAACCTACTGAATAATGAAATATGTAGCTCAGTCACCTTCACTGCCCCATCCAACACACAGAAGCGGAGATGCCTACCTGACCTGCAGCTGACTACAGGCACACGTGGGAGCCCATATGGAACCAAGACCATGTGGAACAGAGAAGAAACATCAGCTGGGTCCAGCCCAAACTGGCAACCAACAGAATTATGAACTAAGGAAATGATTGTTGTTTTAAGCCAGCAAGTTTTGCAGAAGGTTTGCTTCACAGCAAAAGCTAACTGACATAAATAAGTAAAAATATACCCACATAGACCTTCATTATGACCTCATAATGAAGTTGCCAAAAATTAAAAGACAAAAATCTTAAAAACAGGTGTTAACATAATTTTTTAGGACAGAGAAATAATTTCCTAATGAGGTTTATCTTTAAGCATTCTAAAGATTTCAACTTTGTGTTAAGCGGGAAAAAATGCGGGAAAGACAGGCATTCTAGGCACCAAAAAAGAAAAAATCACTATTTGAAATGTATTCCAGTTTGGACTGCAATTTTCCAGTATGGAAAACAATATAGGACCAAAAGGTAGATATGTTTGGACTTAAGGGCTATGAGCCAAGCAAGTTGTATTCTGGCTTCACCACTAGCTATGTGACCTTGGAGCAAGGTATTTCACTTCTGCACTTCAGTTTTCTCATATATAATACAGAAAATATTACTTTTTAAGGCTTATGAAAAATGTAAGTAAAGTTGCTCTTGGTGCAGAGTGAACACTAGATGTTAGGGAACTTCACTCTTGAGATGGGAACCACTAAAACTGCTGGGTGCAGGAATAACAAAAAACTAGAGAATCTGAGTTAGAAGGGGCCTTTAAGGTCATGCAGTCTATTCTCTGAGGTGTGTGTGTGTGTGTGCCTGTGTGTATCCTCCATTGTTTAAGTTTTATTCCATTCTAATCCAAAGTCTACCTCTTTAAGGCAGAGGAATTTATCTTCTTCCAAACAGCTTTTCTAATAATCAAAGGCAGCTAAAACACCTGATGTTACTTTCCTTTCTCCAAGATAACTGCTTATAAAATAAAATGTTTAAATATTTTTTTAATTCACTAATTTTTTTAGAGAGGAAAGAGAAGGAAGAAGAAACGCTGAATTGCTGTTCCACTTATTATGCATTCATTGGTTGATTCTTATAAGTGCCCTGACTGGGGATCAAACCCGAAACCTCAGCATATCAGGACAACAAGCTAACCAACTGAGCTACTCAGCCAGGGCTAAAATGAAATATTTAGACTCCGAAGGTCCAATATCTTCCTCTATACCCTCCATAATCCAGAACTGAAAAGAAAAGAAAAACATAAAAGGTTCTATTTTGCCCTGGCTGGTGTAGCTCAGTGGATTCAGTGCGGGCTGCAAACCAAAGTGTTGCAGGTTCGATTCCCAGTCAGGGTACATGCCTGGGTTGCAGGCCATGGCCCCCAGCAACTGCACATTGATGTTTCTTCTCTCTCTTTCTCCCTCCCTTCCCTCTCTAAAAATAAATAAATAAAATCTTTTTTTAAAAAAGGTTCTATTTTATAGGATTAACTCAACAGATACCTATCATCCAAAGGTAAAAAGTATATGTATGGGGCATAAGAAAAGCAACTAACCAGGTCCTGTGTGTGAATGTGTATGAGTGTGTACTGGTGGTTGTTCAGAGAAGGCTTTAGGAAAAAACAACATATGAATTGAGTTTTGAAAAACCAAGTAGATTTTAGCTAAGTGAATAAGACAAGGCTATCATAACAGCTATCTATTCAAATGTTCCCTCTCAAGGAGCTCCTCCTCTTCTAAAGCTTTGTATGACAAAACAAACACAATACATATATGTACAAAAGCAGTGTACAAATTTACAAAAATGCTTTTCATATAGCCAATTATCACTATCAATTATCAAAACTATCCATTGACACTGCTGTGTTAATTCATAGTTATGAGAAAACATTTTTAATCGAAGTTTTGGCAAGAAAAGCAGTATAGGTTAAAAATGTGCTTTTTAAAGTAGACAAACTTGGATTCAAATTTAAGCTCTAAACCTTTGTAGAATTCACTGAATCAATATTTATTGGCCCTGGCCAGGTAGCTCAGATAATTAGAGCATAATCCCAATACATGGAAGTTGCAGGTTCAACCCTCAGTCAGGGCACATATAAGAATCAACCAATGAATGTATACATAAGTGGAATAACAAATCAATCTCTATCTCTCTCAAGTCAATAAATAAATATATATATATATTTATTGAAAACTACTGTTTTAGATATCTTGTTTATTGCTAGGAACACACAGTATCAATATTCTAGAAACATTTTCCATCATTCCTCAATATGGAACCCTTTGTCACTCAGCTCCTAATATAAACCCAGAAATTATTGATATATTTCAAGAGTGTTTCTATCATAAAGCATGTAGCTGGAGGAACTGTTTTGTTATGAGAATAAATATCCTGACACACTCTTGCTCAGATAGGACCAGATATATAGCTGCAGGCAAGGCCAAGCCTTTATTCAGAAAGCAATGGCTATCAGTTATCAAGCACATTATTTCATTTAATCTTCACAATAATCCAATGGGGTAGATTGTTACAGTAACGGCCTCCAATGAATTGTGCCTCCCTCTGACCATGTACCTTTGCAGTGTAATTTGGCCACTCCTTCCATAAAGAGGTAAACTCACTTCCTCTCCCCTTAATCTGGGCTGGTCTGTGACTTACTTTGACTAGTACTTGAGAACTGATGCTGTGAGACTTCCAAGTCTAGCCTTATGAAGTCTTAAAGTTTCCACTCTCACCCTCTTGGTTCTGTAAGGAAGCCTCAGCTAAACTACTGAATGAGAGACCATGTGGGGAGAGAGACCCAACCAGAGATGTATGGGTATCCATTTTAGCCCTCTAGCCCCACCTAAATTGCCAGCTAACTGCACCTGCATGAGTAAGTCCAGACAACATCAGCAAAACAGCCCAGTTCACCCAAAAACTCCTGAGAAAAAACAGTTGTTTTACAACTAAGCTTTTGGTCTGTTACACAGCAATAAATAACTGAAGCAGCCAATAATATAGGTACTATTGTTTACCTGCAATTCAGAGCTGAGGAAGTAAGTGCTTAAGTTTCAGATATCTGCAAATACATGACAACTATACTTCTTGTGATAACTAATGCACTTATTTTTTTCAATAAAACATAAAGAAAAGCAGACATGGGGCAAGATCTAAGTTAGTTTTACTTTCATCCAAACCTATAAAAAAGTACATGCAAAAAGTATTGAGCTATGAAGGCATAGTCAAGTCATTTTCCAACCCAAAGAATAACTCAGTATGTAGTTAATAACTGTTTAATAATAATAGTAACAAAGATAATCTTATGGCACTTTCTAAGTGTCAGGTGCTGTTCTATGTGATGTAAGTGTGACACAAGTGTATATACACACACATATTGTCCCTGTCAACAAGAAGCCATCTAATCATCACCAGTTTCCTGAGGGGGGAGTTGCCACAGAAAGTAAAGCCCAAGATACACAGCAAAATTTCTCACTGATAGAAGTATATTACACTTACCACCAAAGAAAAGGTTGCTCTGCTATATAAATTAGTCAGTTTCAATGCCCAGGTAAGAGCAGGCATATACCATTAATATAGATCAAGTGATCTCAGCCGTCCGGATGTAAATATCAGGCTTAATATGAGAAGCATACTGTACACAGAATGCATGTCCATTATAAAGCAACAGCACTGTGAAATCTACAAAGAGAAATGGACAATATCTATAGCTATCTATGATTAACACTGCTGACAGGCACATGTCACAATTTTAACTTGGAGTGACCTAAAACTTCTACATAAATTGCGACAAAATTGCCAAACAATCCAGATACCTGTTCTATTCATCCTGACCCATATTATGAGGACATCAGCCCATGTGCTCTTCTTCAGAGTTAGTGGCGGATAGTACACATGGTCCAAGTGGTTTTAGAGGACATGATAACCGGCTATACCTCCTCAACCCCCCACAGCCTCAAGAAACGACCTCGCTAAAAAAATTCTGCATCGAGGTCCCAAAAGAATTTCCCTCAATTGAAAAACAGTCCAAAGAGATACACAATTCGGTGTGAGAGGCCAGCCAGCGATAGGAAGTGCCACCAGGGAAGGCTGAGAAGGCCGTGGGAACAGTCGTCCCTCAGAGCGCGTTTCCAGAATCGTAGGAGACGAGTAAGGATGCTGTCGAGAGCGGAAAAAGTTGCCAGTCACCGCAGGTCTGTGGCCCCAAGGGCTCCCTGCACAAGGTCCCCTCCAGCTTTCTGCTGCTTCCAACATTTGCCTCCACAACCGCAATCAGGCCCGCCCCCTTGATCCGCAGGCCGGCTACTGGCCACACATCCGAAAGCCGCCGGCAACCCAAGGAAAACAACTCTGTGGCTTCCCTCCTCACCTCCCATGGCCCTCGGAAATACTCACTTGCCCGCCAGATCTTTATGAGAGCCGCTCGAATTCATGAGCTGAGCCAAATCCTGTCGCACAGCTGCCGCCATCTTTCTTTCAGCTCAGCCAAGCATGCAGGCCTCAGAACCAAAAAGAAAACGAGAATAGTCCTCCAGAGCGCAGCCAGAGGGAACCCGAGATGCCACCAAGTAGCGTCTGTGTGGGCCAGAGCGCCAAGTGTGTGAGCCTGCGCTTGGTCCGCCCCTAGGGTTGAGTAACGCGAAGCTCCACCCCTGAAGTCCAAGGCCCGCCCAGACCTCTCCCGCAGGCTCAAACTCGCACGCTCCCACTTCGGATTGGCGGATAAACTCCAGGGGTGGGTCATTTGTGCAACTCTTGTTAGTTCCGGGTAAGCAAAAACGACGGCGTTTTCATTAAGTTCCGTGTCTCGCAAATATGGTTTACTATTCTTGTTCATTTAAAACATCTTTTAAACTACCTATGGTTAAGAACGAATTGTTTTTATTGCCAGTTTATCAAAGACAGGTACTTTTGTACAGCACAATTTAAAATGTCCACATGCCCTCTCGTACTTTGTACCCTGTTTATGAGTTGATCGTATATCCCAATTTGTCCAGGACAGTGCCATTGTTGTCCAGACGTAACTGTAGATAACGCGCCCTCTCACTTTGGAAACTGTACTATTTGGAAGAAAACTTACCCGGATTCATTATATCTTTTCATGTAATTGTATTCATTACTTATATAGCCGTACAGGTTTTCTTTCTGAAAATAATAAATGTAAATTTTTATCCTTTCTTGTTTTCACAAATGGTAACACTCCATATCATTATTCTGCTATTGATTTTTCACTTTTTCTGGATATTTCACCATATAAGTACAGAGAGCTTCCTCATTCTGATTTAGAGCTGAGGAGTATTACCTAAAATGAAACGATGCCATAGTTTATTTAATCCTTACAGCTAGACATTTCAGTTGCTTTAAATCAATCAACCAATACTCAATGAATACCCTTGTACATACATCATTTTATATGTGTATAGGTAGAATACATTCCACGAAAAAAGTCAAAGGGGATATTTACTTAAATTTTTTAAAGATCTCTCCAAATTGCATTTTATAAGAATGGTACAAATTTGCCTTTCTACCAGCAATATGGAGGAGTGCGATTTTCTACAGCCTTGGCTACAAAGGACATAAAACTTTTTAATTTTTCCATCTTGATATGCAAAAAAAAATAACATGTTCTCTCTATTGGGAAGAGGAATGAAGAGAAGACTAGAACAAGGAAATACTTTAAGAAAGTGATCAAGTTGGCCTGATCATTTGAACTTTGTCAAATGATCAAGCCTACATCAGTGACACTGGAAATTTGGTTTCCAACTGGGTAAGCTTTTACCCCAAAAAGGAAAGGATGGTTTTAGGGAGATCATCAGCAATCTCTAATACTCTGTCCCTCTGACACCTAAATATCTGTGTGTATACTTCTTGGTACAGGAAAATAATCTCACCTCTAAAGAAGAGAGTTCAAATTCCCATTTAGTTTCTGTATCAGCTCAAAATTCAGGATGTCTGATTATGCACAATCTTCTCCATCAGGTCAGATTGTGGATTTTCATGGTCCAGAGAAATATAGACTATAAAACAAAGTATCTGCCTCATGCCCCATACATGTAATATGAAATGATAGTGGACCAGGAATAGTATAATCACAGTTAAAACTCTGAAAAAGGAAGAATGGGAAATAAAGCGGTTACTTGTTGATAGTAATGGTGGAATCCCAGGTAGGAATTATGAACAGCCACTATCATGATGGTGGAATAAGTTCCTTGGTTAAAACCTAGTTCTGCTCTTTGAGAGAATCTCTATTGTCTATTATGTTCTGTTGGCCCAATCTTTGACCTCTGAATGCAGATTGACTAGATGTTGGAGAGTATTCCCTCTTTGGGGGAATGCCTTGGAGCTTAAACAACTGAAGGCTTTTGTAGGCCAGGTTTTTCAAGGTTTTTATTTTTATTTATTTATCTTATTTATTATTTATTTTTTTATTTTTTAGAGATGGGGAAGGGAGAAAGAGAGGGAGAAAAATAGTGATGTGAGAGAGAAACGTCGATTTGTTGCTTCTTGAAATGCAACTGGGAACTGAACCCACAACCCAGGCATGTACCCTGACTGGGAATTGAACCGACAACCCTCTGCTTTGTGGGACAATGCCCAACCAACTGAGCCATACCAGTCAGGGCAGTGTTTTTATTTTTTTCAAAAATACAATTTCATTGAACATTCAGTAAACTTTGTTTGCTTCCAGTTTCAGGTGTCAGTAACCACACCCAAAGTTGCTTCTAGAAGTAGTTGTTAAACTAGCCTTATTCCCTGCTTTTTTGCTCAACCTATTCTTTCTTTTTTTATTTTTTGTAGTTTTCAAACAATTGTCTTTTTTAAGTATATTTTTAAAGATTTTGTTTATTTATGTTTAGAGAGAGGGGAAGGATGGAAGGAAAAGAGGGAGAGAAACATCAATGTGTGGTTGCCTCTTGAGCGTACCCTACTAGGGACTTGGCCTGCAGCCCAGGCTTGTGCCCTGACTGGGAATCGAACTGGCAACTCTTTGATCCTCAGGCCAGCACTCGATACACTGAGCCATGCCAGCCAGGGATCAAACCATTCTTGCCATCTTTTTAGTGATTGCAGCCTTGAAATCACCTGAAACAATAGACTTAAATGAGAAGAGAACTCTATTAATTTAGTTTTTGCTTCACCTTATCTTTGTTTTCTGCAGTGTGTGTGTGTGTGTGCACGCGCGAGTGTGCACATGCCAGAAAGTCTTAATGGGCTATGAGAAATCTCTAAGCCAAGCCTTCCTGTCTGCTATTTAGGGGTACATTAGCATTTGGCTTTTTAAATTTAGTGAAGCCTAAGAATTTATGCACATTTTATCCCTTTATTACCATGACTTCAAACTTTACTTGTAATACATCGCTGAAAGCAAGAAGAAGCCGTGAGACACAAAATTGCCTCCTTCCAGATATCTCCACTAGAGCTATATGAGCTAGGGAGGGAGGTTGCCTTCCTAATTATTGTAAGCAGCAATTTTACTAAACTTTTTGATATAATAAGGCTTCCCCTTTCTAGACTGTTAATTATCACTGCCCAATTGAGACAGGATGGTAAGAGGCTAGGGAAATTCCTGGGCAAGTGGAATGGGGAAACTGAGACAAGAAAATTAAACAAGGTCAAACAGTTTGAGCAATTTACAGCCAGCTGGTGAATTGCAAGACCATATCTCCCCTAACCAGGGACACTTGAGAGCAAATGGTTTATACCTCTCCTCCTTAGTCAGAGAATATATAACCTCCCTGGTCATAAACCATGGTGTCTGAGGAAGAGGGGAATGCTAATGTAAACAGGAGAAATAACACGTGAACAAAGGGAGCGAGCTGGGGAGGAAAATGGATGACTCCCCTTTCAACTGCCCCCTCAAGAGAAACAGCATGTCTGTGCTCCCACTAGGAATTTCCCCCTTCCAAGTCCCCATGTTTTCCTTATATAAACTTGCTTCTGAAAGCTCAAGGTAAGGTAGATGTAGGGTTTTTACAAACCATCTTCTCAGAATGCTGGCATCTGATATTAATAAAAGCACAATTATAATCCAATAATCTCTGTTTTTTTTTATGAGCAGTGACAGACAGCACAAGCCCTGGACTTGGTTGTCCTCTGGTTTTACAACCTCTGAGAGAAGGCTACATATTTTCAGGTTTTGCTTATAGCAGTGAAGAAAAGAAACTTGCATGGCACTCAAAGCTTATTCTCACCCTCTTTTCAGTTGCTTAGCAAGAAGTTAGCCAAGAATATTTTAATTAACTCAAGGGAAGTGCACAAATCCTATTTCTTTTTCACTGTGCAAAACTGGGTCCCAGCCCTGACCTACCGAGTAAAAACTGTTATTTTAACAAAATCCATCTAGCAATTCCTTCACATTAAAGTTTGAGTAGCCCTGCTGTAGCAGATGTCAACACTACTGGTATAGGATCTCTTCTCTCTAAACTCTCATTGAATAAGCCCATTTTCCTGGCCAGGACACCTCATTTTTACATATTCAACTAGGTGGTCTCAACACCCTCAATTTCCAAAAAAATATGCAAAGAAAGTCATCCTCGGTCCTTTTCCTGGTGCATCTTCCACTCTCTGTCCCATGTGCCCAGTTCATATATACCTAGCTAGAGAAGAAAAAGAGAGCATTGTGTATATTCTGCTGTTTTCTGAGCATTAATCCTTACTGTACATTTATTTCATGTGTGACTAGTGCTGTGTGACAAAATTGTTTTAGAGTGATCTTGTGTGTTTCCTGGCCTAGACCCAGAATCAGCCACCTTTTAAAAAAACCCTGTTTCTATTTCCTAAAAAGATATTTACAGATATCAATATGAATGCTAAGGATTCTCATTGGTACTGTATTGGTCATTTGGGGAACTCTTCACAGGATAGAACTAGGAAGTGTCTACATATTTGAAGGATAAAATAACTCATGAGTTCATACTGATACTTCCAAGTTCAATTTAGGTGATTTTATTTAACCTCTTCTGTATTACATTTGTATCTCCTTCCACATCTGGAATCCTGATTCACAAGTACATAGGGAATTATAGAACCCATATATTCAATAATTATTCATTTCATTCATTCCATGTTACACACAAAACAGCCTCAGTATAACAGTACTAATACTACCACCGCCAAGTTGATTGCTGAAAACGAGTTCAATATTTCCCTGCTATTCCTCTCATTTTTAATTGTATTGTATCTACATAATGAGCACATATAGCTATTACAAACAATGCTGAATTCATCTTAATCCTCATTTAATCTTAGCTTTATAAGTAATATATATTTAATGGTCACCATCAGCTCTTATATTGATATCTCTCCAGCCAACTTAGTAGCCTGAAACTAGTTCCTTAACAGGTTTCTATGGAAGGGCTCATGGAAATCATATTCTTGCATTCTCTTGTATGTTGGTGACATCTCATTGTGTGTTTTTTTTATGTTTAAAAATCAGTTTTAGCCCTGGCTGGTGTGTCTCAGTGGATTGAGAACTGACCTGCACACTGAAAAGTTGCCAGTTTGGTTCCCAGTCAGGACACATGCCTAGGTTGCAGGCTAGGTCCCCAGTTGGGGGTATATGAGAGGCAACCAATCGATTAGAGGCAAAGAGCCTCTAA